ACTGGCACTGGCTTTCCAGTGTTTTTCCCTTGAAGTGTGTCGAGTTGGTGGGTTGGCAGGTGGCTGTTGTCTATCCTATGGTGCCTCCAATGGGATGGATTGAGCCACTTACTCAGCAGTTGACCATGTGTGATGAGGTGATGCGCTGTTTCAGGCTTCACCCAACAGGGCAAACAACTCTACTGACCTTCCAGGTCATGTACAGGGAAGTCGGACTGATTTGTCACTTGTATTTTGAGTTTCTGAAGCAACAGAAGTGTGTTTCTGCATTCAACTGTGGAGACCTTCACTCACTTTCCTTCAACCATCGTTCTTTGAAGCAACAAAACAACAAAACAGGGACGGTAGCTGTCACTAGTCCCGGACGACCATGAGATGATATACTCGTCCCACAGGGGTCGCTCCACTTTCCATACCGGAAGCCGATCGGCAGCCGCCCAAGGTTCAATGCAGGTGGGAAGCAAGTCAACCACCAGGACGAGTATGAGCTGACGAAGTTTGGAGCGGGCAAAAAGACCGAAGCACCTGGTATGATTGCTTGGAACATGGTAAAATGTTTTGAAACAGTATATTTTGGAGATACAGTTGCATTGCTTTCGAATGTGCTGGCAATTGGTCAGCTGTTTGTCATTACAACTTGTGACCAGGAGCTTTTCCGGGAGATGTTTCTTCGGACCTTCCCCACAGTCGGTGTGTCAAGGCAGGTGTGGCAGCTGAGTTTTTGTGACGTTTATTTGAGCATGCTTTGTCCAAGAGGGTGAGAGCAACGCCTCAAGGAAATTCATCAGGCAACGCGCAGGACAATAAGAAACACTTGTTTGTAAGATTGCAGCGTGCCTATGACAGACACTGTTGATTGTGACAAGGCCGCACTTGATTGACAAAGCTGCTGAGACAATTCCCGGAACCAGGCGCGCCTATCATGCAATCCTTCTCAAAACAGTTACTGTAGTTAGTGTTTCTGCATTAATTGTTCACCAATCATTCAGAGTGTTTCTAACAAAAAGTTGCCTGACTGACATGGAAAGACATGGGAAGATGGATGTGGCCTGGTGGAGTTGTGGACTGCTTAAGGGATAGGAGAAGGTGGAGGCCTTCTATTCAAGGGAGGCCGATCCGAAGTGGTAATGTGAGATATCATGAGACAATGGCATTCTGTGAAGTTGTAGCTTTAAACAAAGCACCATGTCAACTACTGTAAGTCTTTGACTCTTGGTGTCTTGGAATATTACAGCCTGAAAATTGACGATACCCGGATGAGACATGGGATCATTTGTCAGCTGAGGATGGTTGTTTTATGTTGTGTTTGCAGCCCAGCTGCTCAAATCGCCAAGTCCGGTCTCACTGGTGGACATGAAATCATTAAGTATACAAGGTGTCGATCCAGGTCTAGCTGCTTGAACGATGGTACGTGCAGGATAACCGGGTCATTATCATTACTGTATTATTATAGAGGTGCCCCCACCCACAACTGATGGGACAAACGATATGAATCATAAAGGATAGCATGCGACTGTAGCAGGTATTTATGGCGAGTTGGAGGAGCCCATGAGTTCGAGCTACCTTTACAAGAAGGTGAGCTCTATGAGAAGAGGCCAGGCAGCATCCAGGAGGGGGAACAGACGTGACAAGACATATATATATAATATGCTGAGTTACTAGATGTTGTATAATATAATTAATCATCATGGTGAGATATGTTGAGAATTTATGATCATTTCTGGAAATATCGAATTCGTCAACTTGTTGAGACAAGCTTCTTGAGCCGCGCTTCTTTTTATGCTGACACAAGGCTTCCTTATCAGATCGCAGAATGGTACGATGAGTTCATACAGCGAGGCTTGCTCTCAAAGCAGCGATGTTTGTATAGGCGTCAGCAATGAACAAACATTGAAGTGCAGACATGTCGCTTGTTCCCTAGAAACATGTTTCTGCAAGACTACTTGACCAGGTGGACTAAAACACAAATTCGCAACATGCTGTTGGTTCGATTCGTTCAGAGTCGTTTGTGCCAAAGCAGGCAGGCCCATGGTGGGGCCTTTATGACCCGTACTGCTATAGGGACCTGGAGATTGTCATAGGAATACATCCAGGTAGTGTGCAACAATAAACATGGCGAGCCAGGCGGAATCCTATACCCACCTCCGGAGACTTACATTTACTACCAGAACAAGGCATCTTTGTTGGAGCTTTTGACACTTCGGCCACTTGTCCCACTTGCACACTGCTCGTCTTTGCTTGGTTCGGGCTGATACCCGGGTTGTATTTCTAGCCGGTTGAACTTGGTGATGTAAAAGACATCTACAGCTTGGCTTCAATGAAGGCTCAGTGTTCATTATGTTTGGGCTCCAAATCCTAAGGACTCAGAAGGCGACAAGGTCGATATCATTATAACCCTTCCACCCAATTAATTAAAAGGCGTGCAGAGCGCCCCCCACCCCCAAACAAAAAGATCTGAAGTCGTCTCTTTAAATAGGGGGTCCCCCAAAGAGGGAGACCCGCAAAGATGGGAACCTGGGAAGAGCTCCAGCCCCCAAAAAGTCGCCTAGGACAACTTTATATGACATGCTGACATGCATTATCAAACGCGTATCAAACATTCAAGAAACCTCAAGATCAATGTGGTTCTTTTGCCTTTACAAAACCCTTTATTAACATATCTATTATATAAATATCTATTATTTGATATTCTTCGCTTGTAAAGTTTCCGTCAGACTAACAACTAAAGACTAAAGAAGAGGTCGAATGTTGAAAGGCCATTGGCGAATGGGATGCACGTGTGCAAATGCGGCGTGTTGCTGGTGAGCGACAGGATTGGTAGTGATTCTAGTGGGCGGGTACACAAAACCCAGAAAGCACTCATACCCAACTCCCCCATGAGGGCATATTTTAGTGGTAGAAACAAAGGGAGTAAAGTGCTTTCAAAATAGGTACTCGGACTCGGGATTAACCTCTGACGTACTAGTTTCTATTTGAAGCCAGCTCACAGGTTGCCTTGGCCAAGCTCTTCAATGAGCGCAAGGTGCCTCGGGGACCCGGGGTTTTGACACACAATGCTACAGATAGCTCTTGGAGGTCATGAGCCATGAGCCTCTCACTGGTGGTGAGTGACCAGGTGGCAGGTGGCAATTTCCGACGTCATGGCTTCAGACCGAAAGACATCGGGACTTTGTGTGCAAACACATCCCTAACATGGTTCGCAGTTTCTGAAAAGAGATAGATGTTGATGCGGGCGCGCATATTTCAGTAATTGGTAGAGGGTCGGCGAACAAGTCAGTGAAAAACATTAGTGTAGCTGATGTCGGTAAGGTTTCCGTGAGGTTTGTTTTGGGATGTGCAGCAGGCGGTGCCGCAAGATTGCAGCAACTTGTTTTTATGATAGCTAGGCCCAAACATGTTGAAGCCCTGCACTACCCACAAAGGAAACATGGAAGTAGCAGAAGAGTATTCACGCGGCATGATGGCATGGAAATACAATGACATGACATCAACTTTGGTTACAAGACTTTGAAAGACGCGAGGTGCTTGTCATGATGTCTCCATTCTGGTAGTGCATTGCAGTTTTACAATATATGTACAGTCTTATATAGTGGTTCACATGAGAATCTCAAGAACTTCGCAGAAACTCTACGAAACATAGTCATCATTTGCCGCAAGTGCCATAGGTTCGCCGTAAGGACAACATGCCCAGAAAGACCCCGCGCCTTTTTGTCATTTCTTGTGATCCCGGAATGGTCCAATGACTATGTCCTCACGCAACGGGGCCACCTCAAAAGCCGAGGGAATTGGTGAGTCAGAACTGTCCGATCAAGGGACTACTCCTTGCGATGTTTGATTTGTTTGCTTCCATTTGTCTTGTAACTTGTAACATCTTGTAACAACTTGTCAATTGTGACCGTGACCATTGGAGCTGCAGTATATATCTCGGCTGCAAACACAACGTAAGGAAAACCTTGCACACATGTATCGCTGTAAGCAAAAGCATTGTGAGACCCGCGATAACACTGGAATTCTTGGAAAGTAGATATTTTGAATACCGCTTTTGTGGCTGTCACTTTCTTGCAAACACCCCCAATCTAAGTGGTCAACTTTGGGGGTCCTCGTTTGGAAGACCTGCCGGTGAGAACTCAGCGAAGCTGGCTGACGATGTTCAGATTTGCCCAGCTTTGAACAGGTGAAGATCCCCTCCACTTGGGTCTTCTCGAGCTTGGAAGAGGCTGAAGCTGCCAGAGCCCCAGATAGATCCTCATAGCCCCTCAGAGAAAATTGTGCTCCCATCCGACCTGGACCATGTGTGTCCTCAAGACAGATGAACACAAACATCAAAGCAAGCATCATGTCTATCAATGTCTATCTAAATGAGCGTTTGGAGGATTGAAGTCGGTGGGTCCGCTCTCCCGTGGACAGACTCCAAAACAAACGCAGACTCCACAGTCTTCCTGGCGGTTCAGCACAAATTATACCTAGCCAAGTTCTGGAAGACATAGCACAATGTCATAAAATTTATAATTTCAATAGGTTTGACGACAAATCAAATATATCATATATCCAAATATGATTATTCCAGAGTTTTTGTCAGGATGTTGACTCAGCCCTTCAATATAACTTCTATAATTGCCTATTTGTACGGATCTTGCTGTCTTTCCTTGTTGCTGTTGTTGTGTGTTTGACACTTGCCACTTGCGCTTTGACCATGTCATCACCAACGTGCTTCGGGTTTGAGCTCAAGCATGGCTGGGTGGTGTTTTGCCACGTTCCTTTTACCTGAAAACACTTCGACCAGAGCACCAGGCGGCCCCCCCGCTGGAAATCCGGAAATCCGTCTCAAAATCCCGTGCAGGTCAAGTCTGATGATCATGACCTCAGCCTTCAAAAACCACCCCGAAAGTTCTTTGTTTGTCAAGGTTTCCAACAACGATCAAGTCACTGAAGAAGCACTTCGCAGGAGCAAGACAGCGTCAAGTTCCCCGTGGTCATCAAGGCACAGACTTCCGCGCTCCATGCGGCTCCCGCCGTCATCGTCGGCTGCGGTTGCTACGGAAATATCCAAGGATCCCTACGGATATTCGAGCTTGGGCTTAATGCAAGCCGGAAACAAGGAGGAGTTCCTCAAGGACGCGCAGCGTCGCGAGAAGCAGATCCGTCGCGAGAAGAACAGCGGATGGGTTGGGTTGTTCTTCTCAAAGGCATTTTCAAGGTCAACCAGCTTTGTCAGCAAGTGGAGAGTGAGCACCTTTTTTTGGGTCGGGTGTCAGGCAAAAAAACTGAACAAGCATTGCATGTTTTTCGTACAACATCGATTTGATGCTACGTGTGGTATATTTCGTCCATCGTTGGGCAAGGCGGTGTGTCATTGTCGTTCACTATGACATCACAGTACGGACCATCCAGTGTCAGGGCAAATGGAGAGACACACCGCGAGCCAGAAAGTGAAGATGCACTTTGAGAACTCTGGACCTGGTGTCGAAGCCATCGTGCAGTCTAAGGTGGGCTGGAAAGCATCAACTTGACGACATTGATTTGGAAGGGCAGCAGAAGCAATGTTCCACAAAATATGCATGTTGAGCCTTGAATGTCATAGAATCATTTTACTGTATATCATTTTATGGATGAGGAATCGCTGTTTTAGCCCCAGGGCTTGCGTGCAAGCTGTCACGATTGTGCTGTTGTCGTTGGATGCCGTTTTTTTGTCCCCCAAATCTTGAAGAACCCTCCACTTGCCAGCGATGGTCAATGGTTGGGATTGCAAGGCCCGTAATCATTGCTCGTCCCGAAAGCAGGTGGTTGCTTTACGCGAAGCTCGGGTGACTTACATTGCCGGAAGACCCTTCCATGGCTACTGGCGCATAAGGCGCGTTCAACGCAGGAACGAGATGGTCAAGCTTGCCAAGCCTAAGCCCTTAAAGAAATGCTGTTAAAACAATTATAACTATTCTGTTAAGGAAGTCGTTCTATGATGTTCTATGTTCATTCTCGCCTGTGGATATGACCCCACCACACCCCACCATTTAATTTTTGTTCAGCCCTTCTTGGGTTATATTCACACGGTATCAATTTTATTTGGATCAGGATCGCTATCCGACTTCCGTTGCCTTCCAGGCAGTCTTTGAAATCTGCTTCGGCTGCCACTCTGGCAGAATTGTGTAAACTAGTACCAATTCCCCAAAGTTTAAACGTTGATGACATTTTTATTAGCTGCTCCTCATACTTTGGAGACAACATCTTAATACATTTTGATGCTGGACAGACATTTTGGAGAAGTCATACACCAATACATGATACATGTGCTGTATTTGTAGAGTCACACTAGAGACCATGCCCATCTATGCATAGACCACCAAAATCGGGCTGCATGATGATTGCCTCGTGCCACAACAACAAAAATCATGGAGCAACAAGTGGGTTGAGACACAAACATTCTGAGGCAAGCAACCATGGTGGCTACCAAGATTTCAGCTTTCCTTTGTGGGCAGCTTAGATGATTGACAAGACCCAGGCCTTGACCAGCATTCAGAGGAACGAATGGCGATAGTACTTGTATCATGGCCGCCTTGATTGTCAATGGTGGGATGCTTTTCAGATTCAGGGTGAGATGGTGTCGATGTCGATTTATTGTATATATTGTGGATTCAGCCCACCTGGTCGACAGTGTCAAGTCCTAAGGGAAGACATTGCTCCCTATGTTGCTGAATTTGCTTCCGTGAAGCTTGGAAGCATTGGAAAGCTGCGAAAGCTTCGCCTAAGAAGCTAGTAGTAACAAGTGCCACGCTAGTAGTAACAGGTGCCTTACTAGTAGTAACAAGAAGCGAACGTAGTAACAATCGGTTTGCCGTCACATGTACTAGCCCGCAAAAGCATCAAAAACCAAGATGACTCAGCAATGCTGAATCCTTAGGACTGGAATACCAGTTGGAGGCCACACCTGTGGCGGATTTTGAGCTTGGCAGAAAGAACAGACAGTATGTGATTTATATAGATAAGATTGGCCGTTGTGGCTCTCACGTCATCATCTCCAAATAGATCAAATCGATGATTTTGTTGTTTACTCGAGTCAACTCAAAAAATCTGCATTTGTTTCCCGTTCTGTAGTGTAGAAGCTTGGGGCCGGTATGTACTCGCCCCGAAAGATTTAAGCACGTTGCAGCATTGATTCGAATGTATTGACATAAACGGACTAGGTCAGTGAATGTCCTTCCATTTTGAACGCTGACTGGAATGGAGCAGTGCAATGACACAGGTGTTGACTTCATTTGGGAGGAGGAGAATGCAGATGTGAAGACGATGCCGTACACTCTTGAGGCAGCCAGCTTTTACATTGACATGGGATCAAGTCGGGACCATTCATATCAATAAGCTCAAGAAGCTATAAACAATAGGTCTATCCCATCCACCAACCGTTGGAAAATCTTCTTACTAATAGCCATTATCATTTACTGTTGCCGTGAGGGAAGTGAAGGAAGCTAGGATAAAAGATGAAACAGTCAAGCCATATTTCATTGTTTCCCATGATCTCACATGGGATTCAGAATCAGACAGGCAGCGACCAATTTCCATGATCTCACTATAGGGTTGCTGGTCTTTGCATGGTCTTTGCTGTGCGGTAGGTTTCGCCCACGAGCGACATCAACCCGCATCGAGCCCAGTTTCGGAATCTGCATCCACCCGCAGAGCGAGCGACGTTTCGGCAGATCCCAACGTTTAGGCAAGTGACTTGTAAGGCCAGCACCATCTTCCTGGAAAAAGACTTACAAGGAGTTCAAGAAGACCAAAGGCCATCACTCACTAGCTACACGCAATCACTAGCTCATCCTAGTGTAGCTCATCTCAATGCCGTGCGAAGTTTTTTCGATGTCTTTCGGGAGAATCAATGAGAGTTCGTTTGTTTTGCCACTGTCATTTGATTCCCTGTCAATCTTCTGAAAATTTGTGATCTCGATCAATCTGCTGAACAGGCTATCGGAAAGCGTCTTCCCAGCTTGTTGCAAGCGGATGCTCCCTTTGTGACCAGTCGAAGAGCTCTCTGCAACCGTCCTGGGGAGCCACAAGATGGCCAATATGTGGCGGTGTATTGGAGAGCCCTCGGAGACCCATCGAGACCCCCTAAGAGGGAGACGCCCTGGGTTGGATTGTCGATTTCTTAAGGCTCGATACTTTGGCTCTTTGCACATGGGGTGCCAGAGAAGTTCATTGACTGCACCTTGTCAATCCATGTCAGGTTTCTGGACGTGAGGAGATCATGGCCTGGCTCACAGGGTTCTTCCATGCCGATTTGTGGCAAGATGATCAAGATGATTCAATATGACAGGATGGAAAGGAGGCATAATTAATTCCACATATATATATATATATCAATATATTATATGTAGTGTGTGTATGGAAAGGCATGGAAAGGCGACGCCAACCACAACACGCAAGACAATCCGCTACTCCCGACGACGATGCGATGAAAACCAAAGGAAAGAACGCAATCCAAGGAAAGCAATGCGGACCAGGGTGGAATCGAACCATCAAAGTCAGTGTTCGAATCTTTGCAACAGCAAAGCAAGACAGAAACTTCCTCCAGTGGGCAGCTGGTCCAATGATTGAGAAAAGTGGAAATACCCGCTCTTCGTCGGAGGCGCGGCCAAAAGCCACACACACACACACACACACACACGCGTGAATAGAATGAGCAGTAGAAGAATGGCGAGCGATGGCTGCGCTCATCCTTCTTCCGGCTTATGAATGGCCCCCCAACCCAACGCGGCCTCCAACAAACCGCAAGAACCCCACCTTTTTTGACATATATTATCGTGTGTCTACACGCGTATGCAAACAAGAGCCGCAATAACAACTTCAAATCAGCTCATGAATACATAGATTTGCTGCAAAAGCAGCTCCAGGCACTTTGCTTTAATGACTCAGTCCCAGTCGCTCCATGACCCCACCTGTGTGGCACTGCAGGGCCCAATTTATGACTTTGGCGGTCATTGATCAGCACGACTCTGAGGGGCTGAAGAGCCCATCGGGAACATCAGAGAAACGCGACTCACAGCCTTCTGTGAAAGCAGCAACTTCTTTGGAGCACTGAAGGGCCCGGTTGGAGCTGAGAAATGCACACGTTTGGCAACGCACGTGGACTCACATGGACTCAGGGATTCACGCAGGTCTTTTTCGCACGCGGATGTGAGAATTGGAGTGTAGCATTTGCGGTGATCGGTCTTCTGCCGACTCCATTGGTTTCGAATTTCTTTAATTAGGCAGGCGGTGCTCACATTCCAATCCGTTTTTGAATCGGCTGAAAATCTGTTTTGTCACTGACATCCTCTTTACCAGAGACTTTGCGCAAAAATGTGCTAACTCTGCCAGGTATCGTCTTGAGCGCAAAGATCTCTTCGTTGACATTGACAATGCTCTAGACCGAGTCGTTGGCCATTACTGTAATTTGGCAGATGTATCATCTAAAGTGTCTAGTTCTTCAATCTTCTTTGGATGCATTCGCTATCCACAGTTTTCTGAACCAAAAGCCACAGATCAAATGCCGATGATACTGATATGTGTTTCTTTTTGTGACTCTCTCCCAAAACGCAACTTGCAACTCGCAGCATCAATGGATTGGAATCGCTTGTGACACTGCAGTCTTCTTTGGCAGCACAACATTTAAGTTTCCCACGACCTTGAGACCACTCTTAAGAAGACCCAGGGCCCAATTCGCTTGGCCCTCAGGTTGTGTCACTTTCGATGGAGCGTGTGAGGCGTGTCATTCCAGTGAAAAGTCGGTTCTCCTTTGTCATTCTTTGTCATTATTTGTCCTGTTCACGATGGTAGTAGCAAGAAGCTACTAGTAGCAGGGGCATCGCCAGTAGTAACAAGTGCATCGCTACTAGTAGCAAGAAGCTACGAACGTCACATGTCCTGTTCACTTTCTTCTCCTTTTCCTTTATGAACGGCCTCAATTCACTGGCCGTGTGAACATCGCTTGCCGCAACGTTGACGTGTTCGGCATCTCGGTGAGGCGGTGGCAGGGAAGCAAAAAAGCATACACCGCTGCAGAGGTGGGGCACATGCACATGCGCATCGTTCTTCTGCGCAACCATCATGCAACCAAGATCTTTTGTTTTTTAAATATCACCCGGGTCATACAATAGAACCAGCGCCAGGTTCTTTTAGTTTAAGAGCCCATGGTCACATCACATCCCTGTCATTTTGCCTCTCAGCAACAGGTCCGGTCCAGGAGCTTCGATTTCATTAAACTTAGATGACATAGATTCATTGATATTCGAGAACTCAGCAGAACTTGCAGGTGTGCTATTTGTGCAGAACAGAATTGTGAATCTATTTGCAGGTGATACAAGACAAGCCAGTTCCTGGAGCCGCAGACGCCCTTCGCAGGCATGACTTGCATAGCAGACACAACTAGCTTCCAAAAGCTTTGACTTGCAAGATCAAGAAGAGCAGATGGACACCCACAGAATTAACAGAGTGCGCACAAAAACTCTGCTTTAGGGTTTCGAACTCTTGAGGCTACGGACAGACTACTTCATCCGCTTCTTGACGGCACGAGGTTCATATGAGGACTGACTGAACCAGAGATATTGAGACAGAAACCATATGAAACCATACGCAATTTCTGCAGGACCCTTTCAATGTCACTCAGACGTGGCTAGACCTTAACGGGTTCGAGTATGACGAGCTCCTTGTGGTTGATGGACCTGAAGCCAAGGTGCACGTCTTGTTGGTGTTGCTATTTAATATGATCGTTAGAAGACCTTGCCCGGCTTTCCTTGTTGAAGGATTCATTTTGGATTACTTGGCTGTCACAAAAGTCCAAGCAGGAAGGCTGAAACCAAAGAGAATCGGCAAGCTTTCCTTGTTGCTTACAGGTTGCGCACCTTTCCACCCAGTCCATACTGGTGGATGACTTCACACTAGGCCATGAGAAGGAGGACGCCTTCACCGGAAACTAAGAGTGCAAGAACATGGAATGTCTTTGTTGCACCCACCCTGAGGAACCAACAACCAATCAGAAGTTCATGGACCAGCTCAAGACAGACTATCCCTCAGTTTGACAATTCACAATTTTCTACCTCAAGCTGTTTGCTTTTTTGGCCATAATGCAGAGCCACGGAGGCTGGTTTACCCTACATGAAATTTCCTCTCGGTGGACGTTCAGAGCTTACTTGTTATTTTGATTTATGGAATGCATTCACAATGATATTTACAAACTAAATCATGCATGCACAATGATATCAAAGAGGTTGGAATGACATTGAAGCACAACTAATGGAAGGAATAACTAAACTTGAATTTAATCACGAAAGCCAGCCGATAGGCTAGGCTGGAGTTGGGATGGGCGAACGAAGTGAGTATTAGAGGATGTGGGGGGGGTGGTCGCACAGAGGCCAATTTCGGAAGGCGAACCCAGAGCCTGGTGGGGTAGAGCGAAGAAAAGTATTTGCAGTGTGGGAGTGGTTTTGGGGGTGTTGTGATGCAGGATTGACGGCCATTAGTGCATCATTAGCAGTAGCATCATGAGGGGCTCAGGAGGCATTCTAAACAGTTTTCTACCAGGGGGAGTTCAGGGGGAGTTCACGTCGATGATAGGAGAGAGGAGGCAACGGGACACGAAAAGTGGGTGGACCTTTCCAGTGGCAATTGAAGTAGTGTGGGTGACAGGGAGGTGGGTGTCTCTTAAGACACTGTGTGATCTGTGAGGGCAGGAGAGGGAACAGAATGCTGTGGGGAAGGTGGAAGACAGTCAGAGCGGAGGAGGACGTGGTAAGAAAAGAGGGTCTGCAAGAAATCTTGGGGGGGCCCTTTTTTTAATGGTGAAGACGCCTGCCAACCATACGCAAAAGGGCAACCCAATATGGGGTGGGAGTTCATGTGGCAAACGCGGAGGAGGACGTGGTGGGCAAACACTGCTTGCAAGAAATCGTTGAAATTCTTGGGCGCGCCTATTTTATATCATGAAGACGTCCCGAACCATACGCAAAAGGGCACCACATATGGGGTGCGAGTTGATGCGGGCCGTTGAGGGCAGGAGAGAGAACAGATGCAGCGGGCAAGCTTTGAGTTGCTTGGGGGTGCCCCTTGTTTTTTGTGAAGAGGCCTGTTGACCAGACGTAAAGGGCGCATATGTGGGAGTTCATGTGCAGGATGGGCATAGCGGGGGAGGTTGTGATAGGAAAAGAGGAGGCGAGCACGAGGGATCTCGCATTCACCCTCTATAGACATTGCCGTCTATCGTGTAGAATATATATATATATACGTTTATATGTCTATGTATGAATATATATTTATTTATATATATTAGTATGTATATCCTTACGAAAGCCAGCCGATAGCCTCGCCCATGGGCGCCCCATAGTAATGTTTGCCTACTGTTTGGAAATCGCGCGATTATGATCTTTGCGGTAGAATTCGCTCTTGGCGACGCGAATTTATGACTCCATCTACAAGACAAAAATAACACGCAGCAGGCAAGCGCCCCTCAGTTCCTTACGGGTGCCCTTTTTCAGCTTGAAAACAGCCTTGAAACGGTGGAAAAAAGGGCACCCCCCCCAAACCTATGCATCCTGCTTTCTATTTCTACCCCCCTGTTGGCGTGCCTGCAATGTCGACTTCACCCCATAATAAAGGTATTCTTTGCCCGATGTTAGCCAATCACTTGATCTTGCCCGCCAAGTCTTTGAGTCCATCTACAGGACACGAATAACAAACTGCGGGCAAGCGCCCTTGAGTTCCTTAGGGGTACTCTTTTTTTAGCTTCAAAGCGCCCTGAATCGGGGAAAAAACCCCCCCCCTTCACACTTATGTATTCTGCTTTCAATGTCCAACAGCAGTAGCGTTACTGCAATGTCGACGTCCCCACTCCCTCATTTGCGGATGAAAACCTATCACATTTGCCTTTACTGCGACTTTCCATCTCTGCCTATTATTTTCCCATTGCTATGTTTTCTTACGGAGGCTGGCTTTCGTCCCCTCCCTTCTCAGGTAATATGTAATTTTGAATTTACTTGCAAATATGTCCAGGTCAAGAAAACAATACGATTGGGATTGCGAAGCTGCGAGAAAGCGACCGCAGCGGCGAAGTTGTAGGAAGCTGTGAGAAGCTGCAAGAAATTGCGAATTTTTCTTTACCTATAAATCTAAAATCCTTTTTTATACGAAATTTTATTGTAATGATTTTATTGAACATTATGTAAAGAGATTTAAAATAAAATTATTTTAAAAGGATTGATATCGAACTAAATAATTATGGTTTTTAATTTAAAATTTTATAATTTAATTTATTATTTTGATAATAGTATTTAATTAATAAATATAAATTATTTAAATAAATTATATTTAAAATAATTGATATTTGCATTGGACTTTATTTTTCCCTATTAATAGTCGTAAAATGCTTTTTTATTAAACTTATTAAAAGAAAAAATATTAAAAATCTTAAATTGAAATTAGGTTACTTTAACAAGGTATTATTTTTAATTGTAATTTGAAGGTTTAGAATTTTATTATTTTATTTTTTTTATTTCATTCACTTTCGAAGGCTTTTTTATCTTATTTATTCTTAGTCTTTTACTAACTTGATGTTGAGTTACATTGCATTGGGTTATATTTATTACTATTATTACTATATACTACTAGATTAGTATATCCAAAAGTTATGAATATATTATATACTAATACCACTAATATCCTTAATTTATATTGTATTATATGCATGGATTGTATGGGCATGTCTCCCCTAATCCCGTCCCCTAGGGCTACTCCCGGAATCCTAGGACCACCGGTGTTTTGATTTACCCTTTCCGCGGGAATTATCTTCGGAGCACTAATCCCGCTTTTAAAATCTCGTGCGTTTTCTCGTGCTTTTTTGGTGCTTTTTCCGTGCTTTTTTGGTGCTTTTTCTCGTGCTTTTTTCGTGCTTTTTTGGTGCCTTTTCTTGTGCTTTTTTGGTGCCTTTTCTCGTGTTTTTTTGGTGATTTTCGTCGTGCTTTTTTGGTGTTTTTTTCTCGTGCTTTTTCTCGTGTTTTTTTTGTGCCTTTTCTCGTGCTTTTTGGTGGCTTTTCTCGTGGTTTTCCCGTG